CCCCCCCCCCCTTCCTGGGGAAATTCTGGATTTAACTCAACTTTTATTTGCATCATGTGGTATTACTATATTCAAAGTTCTATCTGGTGTAGAACTGATTTGCCAGTGAGACTTTGTGGCATGGTTCATAATGGCTGCCCAGGTATGCAGCCGTGTATGTATCATTTATCCATCTAATTGGGGACCCTTTGAATTAGCCATCAGTTTGGTTTCCTTTTCTATGGACTTGAACATGGACCAATGTGTATTATTTGTATAAAAAATTTACCTAGCAACAATAACCTTTAAAATTCCCTTAATTTTTTAGTTTAGCTCATTATGCCTAAATTTACCATCTTTTAAATAAAAAAAAAAAAGTTTCTCAAATGCCTCTTTTGTCATGTAGACAACTGGGTTGAAACATGCCATTGAAAGAAGGGAAGGTTTCATGAAGAAACATAGGACTCATTCTTTGCTGATACTAACGGTATAGGATCAAGAATTAATAAGAGGTAGCTCTCAGCTTTCAACATCTTTGAAGCAATAAATCATACGTCTAGTTTCTCCCTCTAAGCTGTAGTTGTTAAATTTGCCTTTTTCTTTCTTGGTTAGTCCACATCAATTGGGTCAGTTTGCCTTTCAGGCTAACTGACGTGTTCTAATGAGTTAGTTGGCTTAGTCTGACTTGGTCAATCCTCATCTTATTGATGCACATTGTCATCAAGTCACAGACTAAGAATCCAAGCCTCTAAACTTGGCAGCACCTTCACCATTCATTACCTTGAGTTTTATGACAAAATCCATTGCAGTAAGATCACAAGTGACTCAAAAGCTTGAGTCTTGAGAGTGATGGTTTTAACAATTCCAACCATCTGGTTCAACTGCCATGAATAAAAAACAAAAGCAAATGGAAAGAATTTCTACAAAGGGATAATATTAAAGGTTGACAAATTAAAAGAAGAGAAATACTACGTCCAAAATCCTATTGTTGGAAGCATGGAATAGAACTTACTCAACTCAGTTTGGGCCTAGTGAATGCCTGCTCTGGTCTGAATCATACAGCATTTCATTCAATGAAGTTGGCATACAAATGGATCTACCATGGATTTTTAACTGTCAACTAAGGCCTTCAGAGTCAGTCAGGCAAACTTATAGCGACTCTTATAGCTTCTAGTTGGTCAATTGATGGATGTGCTACTGCTATCCATTATAGTTAGATGACCAAAAAAGAAAAAGAAAATCCATTATGGTTACAAATTAACCAAAACCCTATATCAAGAACCAGACTGGAGTATGCTTTGGATCAATACAACGACCATTCTGCCAGTCTCTAATCAATCCAATATCTTGCCCACAAAAGCTTGTGGTGGTGGTGAAGGAAAGCAATCTGATGTAGAAGGTAGTTGGACTGTTTGTGCAGGTGCTTCTTTTCTTTGTATCTGCATGTTTGTGCGTGCGTGTGTGGATTGTGTTGCAACTACTCTTCAATTTTCAGTGCACATAGCCAGATCATACATACATCAGTCTGGGCTTCTTATTAGATTTTCGTTCTCTGAGCCAGCTTTTAAAACATTGTCTGCAATTAATATTTGGAATAGATGAAAGATCAAAGTGGACTTCCAACGTGAGAGTATCGTTTTGGGAATCTTGACAACTGGAAAAACATGCACCTTATTAGGTAGCTAAGCAGTCAGTATCAGCGGGCTGAACCAGTTACATCACAATGGTTGACGCTGAGTGGATTAGATTTGAAGCCCCTCTTCTCTCCATCCATGCCTGTCCATCCAATGAGGCCGACAACGCCAGCCACCGTTAAGAGGGATTGAAATTGACCTATTAGCTAGCTAATTGGACTGACGGAATTTTTTAAGTGTATTTGGTGATTGATGGAGTAAGATTTGAAGATGAAACCACACGCCCAACACACTCTTTGGTTATCTTTTTTCTTCTGTTCAATCCATGGTTTTCAAAACCGGACCGGACTGGACAGTCAGACCAGAAAAACCGGGAACCGGTCACCTGACCGGTTCCATTTCCCCCCAAACCCGCTTTTTTCTCCAAAACCATTGATTTTGGTCAGCAAACTGCTGAACCGGCTGGTTAACTGTTTGAACTGTTTGGTCGGTTTTGACCGTTTTCCATTTTTTTAATTTTTTTATTTTTTTGTCAGAACGGGCCGACCATTCGGGTCAAACAGTCGGACCGTTTGACATGTTCAAAGTTCAAACTCAGGAATCTTCATTTGTTTATAAATGGTGAATGAATCAACAAATCACTTATAAGGTTCTTCTCTTGGCTTGAAGCTTTTCAAGACATCATAGAACGAAACTTTGTACAAGACATGGGCCATTAAGCCATTAAGGCATCATTTTAACTCCAAATATTACAGGTACATGCATCATCTTACAGATAAGATCCAACGCGAAAGACTAAGAAGCTGTTGCAAAAGAAAATCCAAATACCACCCATATCATTCAAGGGCATCAGAACCTGATGCACCTCCAGTTTTTGAAATGTAATTACAAGACCCAGAGAGAAGAAATGCAAAAGAACTATCGGAAACCTCAAAAGGAGGTCGAGGGAACTCGTGAAACCCACCAAAGTTACATGTATCAAAGTTGAGTGGAGAGAAATAACCAGTTGGATCATCGACATTGCCTTTCATATCCACATCATCTTGAATACTACCTACATTTGAGGTACCTGAGCTGAAGTTGAATCCAGTAGGCTCTACCTGAGTTGTTTCTGTTACTTCACTGCTTCCTCCTAAATCTGATGCCCCACTTGACACTTTGTTCTCCTCAGGGGGAAGGGCTGGGGTATGACCTTGGAAGAGTGCGATATGTCCAAATAGCTTGTCTTTCCTTGAGAAGGTTGTGCCACAAGAGCATAGCCACTTATCCCGGCCACAGTGCTTCTCATGTGTCTTGAGATCTGCAATGACAGAGAACTTCTTGCTGTTGCATCTGCTGCAAGTGTAGCTCTTGTCGCAGTGGGTTCGCTTATAATGATTTTTCACACACAGGATAGTCTTCAGTGGCTGGAACTTTTTGTGATCTTTATTCCTCTTGCAACCAGCAAATGGGCATGAATACCTCTTAATGAGCATAGGCTCTGAATTTGATTCCTTCTGGGGCTTAGCAAGTGCAGCTGGGGTCTTGTATTCATCCCCATGACCTCTCATGTGCATCCTAAGGTTTGCATCCCTCTTGAAACCCTTCCCACAGATCATACAAAAGTGGGTATGGGGTGCCAAAATTTCTTCCTTTTCTAGTTGCAAGACTTCATAGGAACCAGGAGGGAGGTTCTCTCCTTCTCCAGCATCTTCTTCATCCTTTGGATCATGCTCCTCAATAGTTGATACCAATGGGTTAGATTGACCACCATTATTTTGTTCATGTCTGCAATTACTTGGTGGTTCAATCTGATCAGAATGATCAGAAACCTTGCTTCCACCATTGTCTTGCTGCATGGCATCATTTGCATCCAAGATATGAGGAAATCCGACCCCAGAGGAACTCCCTAGCTGCCCAACAAAAGGATTTGCTGCCAGGGTATTCTTCACTGATGGCAGAAGACTACCTGCAGTTGAGATCAACTGAACTATGATGGAAGTTAGATCAGCGGTCACAAGTTGCTGCTGCTGTGCTTCAATTTCATCTGGTCGACCAACAGCTCTGCCTTCCCTGCCCACAATCAAATGCACCAAATCCTGGAGTTGGTGGATCTTCTGCTCAAGGAAAGAAAGATTGCTTAGCATTGTTCGAGGATCCCAATCTTGTAGTTTAGAAGCACTGATAAGTGCTTCAATTGTTTGCTTATCCACCTGAGATGGAGTTTTGATCTGATTATCAGGGTTCGATGACAAAGGTGCAGGAAGTGGGTTGACTTCAGAGTAAGATGTTGCAATCCTATACCCATAATCGAAGTTATCAGGACCATTCCATTTCTGGTTCTGTTGCAGTGAATTGAACTGGTTGAAAGGCTCGAGATCTAGGGTTAGAGTTTTCAATGAATCGTTCCCCAAACGAGATTTTGGCCAGGCTTCTGAACAACGCCTACCTTTAAGATCCATTTTCAGTTCGCTTCCTAGGCTACCAGCACCCAAAGACAATCAGATCTCAAATAGAATCAGAAAACAGGAACACTTCCATCACAGAATTCAAACTAGAAAACATCATCAAAGGCCAAGATGTGATTTTCTATTGCGAATGTCTCTCAAATCCGGTGCCTTACCTATAAAAACAAAGAAAAAGGAAACCCTTAATCAGAAGTCTCATTTCTCAACAGCGAAATCATTACATCTTCATACTCTCGGCAGAAAACAATACCACCCACTATAAAATCATTCACCCAAAAAGAAAAACCAATTGACTTTTTTTTCCTCATTAAAAAGCAAAAAGAGATTCACTGAATTCAATCATTCACTTGGAATCAATCAAGAATTCTATTACAACAAACCCCTTCTTCATACTCCACCCACCACCAAGCACGCAAAGACAAACCCCACCACCCAAAAAAGAGAAGGAAAAGAAGCCTCTGTGCAGTATCTCCCAATAGTTCTCCTCAATAATTAAAAAGAGGATCCACAATTACACACTAGCCACAAAAAAGATCTAAAGTATCACAACAAATTTCTTTTCTGAAAAGTCATTCTCCAAACCCAGTTTCATTGACAAAATAGCCAATTAGCCATCACAGAGTCCAATCTCACTCAGACATCGCCCTAAAAATCTAACTTTTCATCAATCTAAAGAAACAAGCGAGAAACTTCATAACAATCAATCTTACAACAAGAACCCATTAACTGAAGAATGAAAAACAATAACATCAAACCACCACTCATTCACAACACAAGTAGAATTAAAAGAAGAAAACCAGTTCAGAACAGAACCTCAAAATTTTCCTTCTGCATCGGGTGTGATTCATCCTCGGAAAACTCTTTAAATCTTAATCGTGGATTCACAAAAAGGGTCTTTTACGAATCATGCAACCATGGATTTAAGTGAAGAAGACGAAGGAGAGACTCACCAGATTCAAGATCGCCGAGATGCTCTCTGTCGGCCCTGAGTAGGCTGTTACACGTAGCGAGAGAGGAGTTGAAAAAGAAAGCTGAGCTCGACTCCAGTCAATCAATATATACAAGGTAGACCAACCTGTTATAAGCTGAATCTAAGCTCCATAATCCTCAATAGACCGTAGTCGTCTGGTGGGTCACCTTCAATCACATTGACTTAGATGTTCTTAATCTTCCAACCAGGTGCTTGCATCAAACTGTGATAAAAAGTCTAAATTTGTCTAGATTTATTTCCCTTTGTTCAACTCATGAAGCAAAAAAAAAAGAATTCCCTTTGTTCAACTCAGAAGGTGGCCCACCAATCGACTATAGGAAAGATGGGGGCCTATGCGATAACAATCTCTCTGCATCGTCCCTGTACGTGGCCATCCATTAACAAATCTCTCTCCTCTTATTTGACCAGTTATTTTCCGCTCTTTTATTTAACTAGGATCGAGATGGTGAGGTTGTAAGGCTGGATTTCCAGGAAGCTACGCCACCGCCACGGCGCCACCTCCGCTTCTACGTATAGGTCACCCGTTCACAAGGCACTGTGCGCAGTACGCACCATTCTAAATTAACAATCAACCCATAAGATAAAAATAACTGGTTTAAGTGTCTAGTGTTTACTTGCAGCCAGAAAAAAAAAAAAAAAAAAGTGTATAGTGTTTAGTTTAGGAGGAACATCCAAACAAAGGTGTATGTGGATCCTTACATCATCTATGCGATTATCAATGTGTGGTGTTTCTCTGAAGGGTTCGTATTTGAAGGATGCAATTTAGGGTCTGTGAATTTTTGCACTGGTGTAAATGAATGAATGAGAGTGCAAATGGATTGAGTGTAAATTCTAATTTAATTTTGCTTCATGTTTGACTTTATGTTTTCTATTTCTTTTTTTGCAAATAAGTGAAATTGAAATGGTCCCCACTTTATATATGAAAGACTCGATGTGGGAGGAAGGTTGTTTATCCGAGAGGAACAAGATAAGAAGCAAATTGACATGGTCCCCATTTATATGAGAGTGAATGAAGGTAGGAGACCGTTTGGGAAAAGTACAATACAAATATTTACCATGCAAAACAAAGTTTAAAAATATAATGTATAAGGTTTTGCATTTTTTGTATTTGTATTCTTCCCAAACTTTGGAAGAAGTACAAAAACAAGTGTGTAGAGAGCAAAACCTTGTATTCTAATTTATACTCTTTCCATGGAAGGAGTATATAAATACAAATACGTAAAGCACAAAATACAAGGTTTTGCATTCTACATATTTGTATTTGTATTTCTTCCAAATTGAGTCTTAAATAGGAGTGTCAACGGTATTCGAAAATCTGATTTCGAATTCGAGATTCAACATAATCGAATTGAATTCGGATAATTCAAAAATTTAACTGGTCAAATTCGAATATCTTATTCATAGCGAATAGCTAATCGAATTCGAATTCGAATATGACCTAATTCAATTCAATAAATATCTGAATTTGACCGATTATATATTTCTTATAGATAACATATAAAATTTTTAATTGTTTTATATAATTTATATATATAATAATTAAATTATATAAATAATTTATATATTTATATACTTTATATAAATAAAATATTTATTTTATATATTTATTAATTACCTAAAACAATTAATTAGTCAAATTCAAATCAAATCGAATATTCGGATATTTGACCGGATTCGAATTTGAATATTAATTTTCAACATCCATCGAATATCGAATTTTTTAATCAGATTTGAAATTGGATATTGCCTAATCCTATTTACATTTGACCCGTTTACACTCCTAGTCTTAAATGCAAAATTTGCATTGCCAGTGAATGCAAATGAACAAAAAAGTATAAATTTTGTATTAGGTAATAGTGCAACATAATTACAAACAAATAAATGAAAAATTGAACTAGGTGTAAAATTTGCATATAGTTGAGATCTGCAATCTAAACAAATAGAACCTTGGTGAGGGGATGAGGGAAAATTGACATGGAAGCGGATAGGCTTGTAATCGGATCAGACATAGTTATGTCTGCATTTAATCTAATTATCAATTTGACTTAGACTAGATTCGGATTTAATTTCCATCTACCTTATTTTGTGCTTAAATGACAAATTAAAAAAAATGGCCTATACATGTATAATATATGTATATAAATATAAATTCACTTAATTATAAATGTTGTTTAAAATAATAGATGTTTTATTTTAGTAATTTGTTACAAAATTAATTTAGTAATTTAGATTAATTATATTAATATTTTTTAAGAAAGTAATAAATTACTGGTAATTACTTAATAAGATTAGGTTGTAGTCATAATTAAATTAATCTAAGCCCAAGCTTGGGGTTTAGGACTTTTAGGTTGGACTTTGGTTGATCCTCAACTTGATTTAACCCTCTGAATTGCACACCTAAGAGTAGTAGCAAAGCTAGGAATTTTCTTTTGGTGGTGGGGGGGGCGCAAGTTATATAGATATATTTTGGTTTATGGTAATCAAAAAATTATGTTAAGTAATTTGTTAGTTGTAGGCTTTGTGGCAAGGAAGAAGAGGAGAGCAAGAGAATGGAGAGAACTGAATGTATCATTCCTTCCCTCTTAGTCCCTTATATAGTGCCCTCTCCTAATTCTTAATTGATAAGCAATATCTTCTTAAGAGAGTGAGTGTTCCATACCTAGATCCATACCATTTTTACCTAAACCACATGATAGCTTAAGTTGTGATGTAATTTCTTAACTAATCATATTAGCAATGGGCCTTAGACCCATTTTCTTTAATGGTTCACATCCCAAAGTGTTGCATGGCCACTTGTGCCTAAATATTATATGACATGGAACCCATAAAGGTTTGACACAAGTCCATAAGGGTTCAACCCCACCTCTGGAAGAGTTTAGGCCGAATTCACTACTTAGGGGTTGTAAAACCCTAACCCAATCAGCTTGGTTTTAATTTGGGCCCAACATTTACACATAAATGATTATTGTATTCAACCATTCTATGAAAGCCCAATAATAATGGATTTATGTAAGATAAAGCCCATCAAATAATCAACCTTGTAATGGTCTCTTACACTTGACCACTCAGATCATAATCATCAAAACATTGTCCATAGGGAATGACTTCCTTCCTGATTGTGAAGTGTAATGTCACACACTCTTTGCTCAGATGGATGCTAGGATTAAAACCTTTTGCAAACTATTTTAATAAAATAGCAATATTACATATAAATACATTTTGCAAATCAGATTTTAAATACAGTTGAAATCCACTATCGACAGTTTAAGTTTCCATTAGAGAGAATGTATACATTGATATTCACTTTGTTTCACAAAAGGGTTGATCTTATCACTATATGCTCACCCACTTAGGTAATTTCTTAAACTGCCCCAATATATCTAGATATTTGATACTTGATTCTTGATGGACCCACTAGTTGGTATATAAAAAACAGCTCAACCTAAAACCTAGTATAGTATCATAATCAAATCTGGGATTAAGTGCAACTTTCTAGTTTTTCTTATCTATTTCCAAGGTCCAAGGCATAACTAGAAATTGGTCTGTGTTTAATGTTTCTTCCAAACATCCATTAGCTGTGCTTAACGTCCAACCCTAGCAACTAAGACATACTACTCCACTAATTTGATAGCATACCAATGCCAACCTTTCCAATGGTGTGTTAATGAAGAGAGATAAAAGTCTTAAACACTTAAATTGATTGACTACTTGAATATTCTGTTCAATTTTACAAATAAAAATTCAAAAAAAAAACCACAAAATAAATAAATGATTGGGGAGAAAAGAAAACCATAATGATATGGCACTTCTTGTTTTATTATATATATAAATATATAGATAATAATAATAAATTTTCATTGAACTTGAATTTTAATCAGATCATATATGGTTAATTCACATCAAATTCTAGGATGAGTTGGATATTAGAGTTTCAAAGTCCATCTACAGGTAGATTGGTGCAACTTTGTACCCCTTGTCTAATGTAGGTTTTAAGTAGATTCCAATCGAACAGGCATAAAGTCATATGTGGGACCCTCGTAGGAACAATAAGATGCCGGGGTTTTGATACAATTGGCTAAAAAAAGTGGGGCTGTAAACAGATCAGATGAAATTTAGATAGGGGTATATATCTAGAATCCAATACAATAAGAATCCAAAATATCCGAATTTGATCTAATGTCCGACAGATATGTAAAAGATAGATTTGAATTCGATTTGTTTACATGTGTTTACAATAATACTCAAAAATACATAATACTTGAAAAACTTATTACCAAATAGGTTTTGATCTGGATATCCGACTTGAATCCGAATTACCTCAATAAATTTATGAAAGTTGGCACAGTTTTGTAAAATTAAATATAAACTATAACTTGGATTGGATTAGATCTTAACAGATCGTACCAATTAATATATTGAATTGATTTGATTAATATATAGATGGCGTCTTCAGATCCAATTATGACTAAATGAATACCCAAAGCTGATATAAACAAATCGTATTCAAAGTCAAATCAAATTAAATCCAATCCGTTTACAACCCTATAAAAATAACACAAATGGCTCGGGTCAAGTGTGGAGGAACATTGGAACATATTCAGGCCCCAACAAAACTAAGAGTTTGGGAGTGCTTATTTGAAAAGTAATTACTTAAAAATAAGTATTCATTAGCATTTGATGAAAAAAATACTTATTTCAAACATGGGTAATATAGATATTTTAAAATGACATTGTGGATGAAGACATATCAGAAAGGAAATAAGAATAATAACTTAAAAATAAGACCAAAATTTAGGCTTCTGGAATAAGTATTCATTCTAATGAATAAGCACTTATTTAAGCTTATTTTCCGAACACAAATAAGTGCTTATTGATATAATCCCTAGGGCTGCAAATGGATCAGATTGGATTCGGTAAGGGTATATCCGATCCGATCCGCTAAGAAAATTCGACTGATCCAAATCCGATAAAGATTCATTGAATTTTCAAAAGCATGATTCAAATTCAAATTGGAATGTATTATCGAATATCCACTTTCATTACAATTATATTTAAATTATGTAATATAAATAATATATTAAAATATATAAT